ACGGGCCTTCGTTCCGGCTGACGTAGCTTCATGCAGATTCGCCTGTGGCGTCGGCCGCGCCCCTGATTGGACCCTGATTCAGTGCGTGCCTGATGAGAAAAGCCGTCAGCGAGTCGCCGTCCTGTCCGCTCCACTAACTGGGACGGAAACCACGGGACTCTCGACGACCAGGGGAGGGGAAGGAGGGAGGGACGAGCCGATGGGGCAGTACATCACGGTCGACGAGGATGACATGCCCGAAATCAGCTGATGGGCGCCCGGTGACCAGTCGCCTAGCAACCGGCCCGTCCTGGCGGCGGGGAGCGAGCGGGGCCGTCACGATGGACCGCCGCCTGGCTGGATGCCCTGAGCTCTCGGTCGGCCGCCGCCTGGACTTCTCCAGACATATGAGCGGGCCCGGCGCGGCGCGCGGCGGCCCGGTCAGCTGGTAGCTGAGGGTCTAGCCGCCGGCAGATAGATAGGTGCGGCCGATGAACCCTCAGAGACGGCCGGGGCGGGAAGAGAGCGGTGGGACGACCGACTATCGGGCACAGCTCCCGGCGCTTCACCGGTGTAAAACCGGCAAGTGCACCGGCAAGTGCACCGGCAAGTGCAGCGAGAGGAGAGGAATATTGCCGAGAGAGAGAGAGAGAGAGAGAGAGAGAGAGAGAGAGAGAGAGAGAGAGAGAGAGAGAGAGGCGCTCCTCGAGCAGCCTGTAAAATTTGTTGGCGGTGACAGGAAGCCCGCGTTCGAAGACACCACAAAAGATGCTGGTCGAGCCCCGGAAAGACGGCATCGTGTTTTGTGTTAGCTGGGCAGCTGGCCGTTGGCTCTGCACGCTGCTGTTTGTGTTTGTAGATCCGTAATGTTTCAGCCAGTTGTGGCAAAAAGGCGTGTTTTACACGATGCTCGGACTGGTGGCAGGTAGTGGCCAATCTGTCTCGGGTCAAGGGCGGTGGAATAATGAAGTGGCGCTGTGCTGGTCACAGCTGTCAGAATCACAGACTGAGTAGGACGCTTGTCAAACCATCCAGCTGGATGGCTGCCAGCTGACGATCGAAGTTGGCAGCAGTAGATCGACCTGAGATGTAGCTTTCAGCTGAAATCCCTCACTTTGCAGACTGACTGCATGCAATATGCTTCAATGGAGGCATTCCTTTCAGATTAAAATAAACACTGCGAACATATTTCCTTTTTATTGGCATTTAGCGGCTATCATTTCGAGCGAATTACTCTGGTCTGTTTGGGAGCAGACACGCGGAAGCCATCAGTGTCTAGCGGAGTCGGTTCAAACTGCTTCAGAAGCGACCTCACACTTCATTTTTGTCGCACTATTGGCTGCCACTATTAGCAAATAACTGGCGACAAGATTTATGTGATAAGGGCACTCTAGCAAATCAAATCCACAAATCAAGATCTTGCGACGCTTGCTTATATCTTCTGCCTAATACACCGCTTCATCGACCGTGGTAAATTGTCTAAACAAAGTAAACATAAACAACGCCGGTTTCTGGAAGCCCTTTCCCTGCCTTCCTGTAATCTCTGTGCTGCCTCCACCCAGCCGCTCCTGCTGTGTGATCTCCCGCGCCAAGCGGAAGTTAGCTGGTAATCCTGTCATTCCAGCGGAATACCTGGCTCGCTGCCGACGTCTCCGCCGCTGTCGACGCGGTCACGGCCCTGTCGGTGACGACGATAACTCACGACCATTTCTGCGTCCTCCACTTCCGGCACCGGGGTCACATCTGTCGCTCTCAGTGCATTACGGCATATCTGCGCGGGTATTTCGCGTGTTCGCTCACCCTGAATCCGTCCCGATTGCCTCGCGGCCTAGCTGTTCCACCTTGCCCAAGTCAGCGTCAGCCGCTGTGCCATGCCAACCTCCGCTCGGGCCCGTCGGCCTCGACGCTAGGCCCCGTCGGCCTCGACGGTGCGACATTCTGCTGACGGCTGCCGGCCCGACTGCCAAGCCACCAGCATAAATAACGCCGCGTCGGCGGGATGAGCGAGTGGGGATCGCTCCGCCGGCGAATCGCCGAACTAACGGACGCCGGTGCTGCAACATTTTGCACACAGGGCTCACTGTATGGGACTGTAGGTATGGTGTGGCTGAGTTTCTCCAATGAGGGAATTCGATGGATGGTGGGAGACTCTGAAATTGACCAAACTGCTCACAACGATTTTCAATGTATTTTTCGGTAATACTTATCTTTTGTGCGCTGGTTTCAAACAGCATAAAATTCAACATAAGTTAATTACAGTTACAACGGACGTAACACGCATGTATTGCATTATAATGAACCGAAAATTAACCAGATGTGCTCCAAGTCCTCACGAGCGTGACACAATTAGCTGTTCATATAAACACACCCATATATCAGATGGCGTGTCGCGCTGACCTGTGATTTGTGTATATGTAAGTCTCGACAGACTGCTAGTGGGCGTGACTGCAGGGCAGCCCGCCGCTCCTATATGTAGCTGTGGAGACGATCCTTCTGAATGGGACTGTGTCCGACCTGCATTACATACATAGAACCCCGCCCGGCTGAGGTTTCAGGGTGGGGTTGGGCTCGGTTCGGGGCTGGACGTGTGTCATCAGCCGGACGGCATCAGCTGTAGTCGGTCTGGACTTCCGACACTCTGAGACCGTCACTTGTGTGAGATGATACCCAACTAGGTCGAAGGCGCTCCATTCACCATTGAGACGGAAGTGGGTGCCGCTGGAGTTCTTGGTATGATCACAGATCGTAGTTACAACCCTCGGCACATGGATTTGGCTTGTAACTGCAACCCTTGACATGATCGGAACCCGTTCAGGAAGATCGGAAACTGTGTCACTCTTGTTTACGGGATCGGAACATCTTCATAGAATTAACCGTCTTCCCGAATGTTAGACACAGTTCATGGCAGATGCCTAAATACGTGGACAAAACCTGCAGCGCATGTCTCGCCAGTCGTCAGATTCTGAACATGATCGAATCTCTTGTCGGGACCGGTGTGACTCGGCTTCGTGTGATGCCTGGCACTGGTAAGCACCTGCCGGGTAATTTGGAGCCCCCACTGCAGCCCGTTAATCGCCCTGGGGGATGAAGATAAATGGTAATTGTCGGCGTGATTAATTACTGCCGGAGCGGTGATGAACGTTCACTGCTCGGAGATGCGGCATATTGCAAGCTGTGTGGAGTTACGTGCACATCACAACTTCCTGAGAGGAAGCCCCACATTTTGTGTCGAAGTTGTAAATCAATGAAGGGTCTGGTGGTCCGGTTTTCGGAACTGCGGACGCTCTGGATCACCGTCTGTCACTTTCGCAAACGTTCGAGGTATCGGGCATAAACAATCGCAAGCGTTACAACATTTCGTGAGATAAAATGTCTGCTAATAAACACAAGCTTCCTATAAACGATCTTTTGGACCATCGTGGTGCCCTGCAACGTATGACGCATCAAGAGCACAATATAAACACATGTCAAATCGTAAGGAATCTGCATGTGCATTGAGAGTTTCCCTAACTGTACTTGTCGCTCAGAATCAGTTAGGATGACATTTAACTCTAGTGGTTTGACATCTAGTGGCTCAGATAGATGCATTTTACATTTCAAGCTTTTAGCTTTATATTTGTTCTGTACCTATTGATAATTGCCACAGAAAGACTGATGTAGCACCAGCCGAATTTCGTCTGATCCTGGCATGATTTGGCTCTTGGCTTTAGCCGGGGGAAGCTCAATGCTGGGCTGTCTTCCAGTATGCAGCTCGGCTGCTTACTCAAGGGGCTGATCTCTTATACAAGGGTGTGGCCCACCAAGGCTTATATGTTTAGGGCGAGGCGAGCAACTGCTGTGGATGGCCACAGTATAGTCGGTATCTCCTTTGAAGCGCTTTTTGCGACCAGGCATGAGATAGCGGAGTTTTTTACAGGCCGTCGACTGTGTTGTTACAGGCGCACATCATCAGCTTTTACCCCACCGTTTATGACTAGGCATAATTTACCAGATATCGGCCACGGCATCGAAATTCGACAGCGAATATTAACCCCGTCGGAGAGATGCTCGTTTTCGTCTGAACTGCTCACTTGAAATGATTCAATTTAGTGGAGTTAGAAATCCTGCAGGCTGAATGGAGTTACAATTGCTGCCAATATCGCGCACCGATTTCTGAGACGCTCAGGAGCTGAGGTCTGTAATGCAGAGCCTGGTTAATGGAAATGTCTGCCCCAATTTCAGCATCAGATACACGTGGGCGTGGACTGACATCAAAATCATGGTTGTCATTATCTTTCTCTGGGCGAAAGGGCAAGTTGCTTGATTGCCGTCTGACTATGATACCTACACTTTAGTTCTTTTCAAATGTCGGTCACGTCTTCTTTATCCAATTTGTCTTTTTTACTACTCCAGCTACTGTCTAGAAAAAAAACATGTGTTAGTGCATGCTCTCACTTATGACGAGCGAACAATTGGCGTTGACAGTCAAACGTGTCCAACCCTGACGCTAGTCTGTCCTAGTTCTACCGACTGACAGCATTACGTGGTGGCAGTTGACCGGTTTTTGGCTGACAGTTGACAATTTTCTGACAGCTGCTCGAGCTAGCCTGTTAACTTCATCCATTTGAAGGCTGGGAAAGTGTCTGTTTGACGGCTCAAATAAGTTATTGTGTTTGTCTGTCTGTATGCCTGACTCAACGACTTATTGACTGACTTACCTTACACCATATAAGGGACCGACATTAGTCTATACTTATTCATGTTTATAGATTTATGATCCGATGTTTTGTCAGATGTCCAGCAACTTCTGTTAGCTTTCATCACAGCCTTTTGTCTGCTACTGTCATGTGTCATTTTCCAATTATCGAATGACTGCCGATCACTTATCATCACTTATCATTTCGCATTCTTCCATCACCTGTCACCCAACACCTCCCAACCACCTATAGGTGACTGGCAGACTGGCAGTCATTAATGACATATTATCCATCACCTGACAGTCACCAGTCACCTGTCATCTGACATCTGTCTGTCTGTCACAGATGACGGAGAGGAGCGGCGCTCTCCTTCGCCGGGACACAGCGAGGGCGGTGACGGCGTCGCCCCTCAGAGGGAGAAGTACCGGCCCCGCTCGCGCACCGGCTTCGCGCGCTCACATTCCGTCACCACCTACGTCTTTGACGAGGGTAAGCAGCTGTGGAAGTTATCTAACGACTCTAACTCTTACTCTAACTTCAGATAAGATCTGCTCAGCTATAGATGATTTATAGTAACGAACACCCCAAACGGGCTGAAGTTAGTTCGGTAATTGTTGAAGTCATCGATGCTGTAGTGACCTCTGGAATCTTTTAACACATAAGTATTGCTGATAATCTTATAGCGCATAAGCATTTGTGCATCCATCGGGTAATCTGATTTTTTGCCGTCCTGTTGCTCCATGATGTTATAATTTAGCCGTCAGACATTCGTGCACATTGCACAGCTGTAGCATGCTAGATATATAGGGCTCTATTTATGATGGGTACATGCTAACGATGTGTTAGGATACAAAGACGTCACAGAGTTTGCCCCTGGGAGTACCTACCAGAAGTTGCGTCAGCTGACATGTCTAACCTGGTGCGGAACATAATCACTATCTGTCTACACACATCGGTGCCGCAAACTTGCATCGGCAATGGCCCTAATCGATACACTGGTGACGCTATCTGAACAATACTGAAACTGGCCTCGCTGAGGGTGCAAGTCCATCCCTCGAACCTGGACGTCTGGGTGGCGAGACCTGTCAGTCTGTGGAGCGCCGAGCGTCTGGTTTTCATCATGTTGTCTCGGTCGGGGCCCTGCCAGGACCGCGCCATCCTGTCATCTGTTCACTATTGTACAGGGACCCGCAGTTGCTTCTGTACACACTAGTATTTCAGCGTATTCTTTGCCTGTAACACCGTTGGAGGCGAATTGGGAAATGATTGTGTGCTTATTAAAACCGCCATCTGAAGGGCTTTAAACTGATGTGCTGCTCTCCTAATTCAGTGAACTTTTTATGGCTATATCAGCAAAACATTGTTTTCAGCGCTTTTTCCTGCCCCATTCCTTCTGAAACCTGGAACCGCTTATTCCATTTACTTCTGCCATCTGACGATGGTCGTGCTGACTACTAGTTCCGGCGCTAGTTACTGCTCCAGTTTTGCACCCGGCACAAACTCAGGCGGCACCGGGCCGTGGCTCGACCAGTGAGGGTCGGACCGAACCGACTGCCTGAGGCGCGGTTAGATCGGACGCCCTGCTGGGGTAGGGGACGGGAGTGAGGGGGAGGGGAGGAGGTGGTCACGTGGTCCGTCCAAGCTCGCAGACGACCTGTCCCGCGCCCAGCCATGTTCCGTGATCCAAAATGGCACGAGAGCTGTGGAATGCCTGGAGGAGACGCTTCGAAAGCGAACTTCAGCAGCACTAATTTACCATATTCTGTGGAGATAAATGAATATTATCTTAATGCAGAAACAAATGTATGCCCAAGCTGTATAAGCTGTATCTTTTTAAAAGTTGTCAATAGGATTATTTTTAGGGACTTATAGGTTTCGTATACACAGTGAATTGTGTTACATTAAACCATTTCGCTGTTATGGTTATGGGTTACTAACTGAAGAGTTATCTTTTTTTCTCAGAGGGAATGACAATACAATAACAATACGAATAAAACCAGACGTTTCGCACAAACAAGTGCCTCCGTCAGTGGCAAGAAATAAGTAATTAGGCATACATGTTTTCTTTCGATAAAATCGATGAAGTAGTTATCTTTATTTTTTAAAGATATATTTTCAGCAGTTTTTTTAAGCACATCATGGAAGCTTATAAACATCTGTGTATTTTATCGGCAATCCGGCTGGCCAGACCGAGACGGTGCCGCATTTAGTTCTCATCGATGTTTAACCTATACACTTATTTGTCTCCACTGACGAAGGCATCTTGTCCGAAACGTTTGGTTTTATTCGCATTGTTTTTATATTGTCATTGTCCGTGAGAAAAACATACCTACTCATATGGACTGGTCTCAGTTCATGTAGAAATTGTTGCACATTCATCAACACAGATAAAATGAATATTAGCCCTCACCACAATATAAGTAGAGGTAAGTAGACCGCGCCCCCTGTTTTTCACCAAGATTTATTTATTTATTATTTATTTATTTCACGTCATTGGCTCACTCCACACTTGTGTGGCTATTCTAGTGCCAGAGTCAAATAATAAAATAGTGGTTGTTGGGATGACACACATACATAACATTCATACATACATACATACATACGCCCTCGTTCCCCCACCAATCTCACAACCACACTATCACATAAGTGTCGTCACTAGGCGCCGCTAACGATCGTTCCTTTGTTGCTGCAGCAAATGCCGACGAAGTTCTCTTTTAAAAGCTCTCATGTCCAGATCACGCATGCTTGGAGGCAGTCGATTAAAAGCCGTTGCTGCAGCGAAAAAGAATCGTCTCCTCCCGGACTCAGACTTTATCATGGGAACATGTAACATGTCGTCCTGCCTCGTAGCTCTTTGGTGTACATGCCGTCTTCGCACAAGATTCTCCGAGAGCAACTCGGGCTGAGCCGTAACCAGCGTGCGTTTTAAGAGCGTCAGCACATGGTACGTATACATGTTGTGCGCCGATAGCCACTCTAAGTCACGCAACACGTCACTCACATGGTCAAACTTCCGTCGCCCCGATATAACACGTGCAGCAAAATTCAACACTTTCTGTAGCCGTGAGGTTTGGGTGACATTGCACGTTCCGTAAACACTAATACAGTAACGAATGAGTGAAATGACTAGACCCTGGACTAGAGTGATGAGTGTCGAATGAGGTAAACTATGTTTGCTGTGACTCAGACCCGTTAAAATGCCAGTACATCGACGGACAACATCATCAATGTGGGCAGAGAACGTCATGCATGGATCAAATATGACACCCAGGTTCCGCACCTCGGGAGAGCCGGAGACAGTGGCGCCCATAAATTTGATGCTAACTGTTGAGAGCTGCCGAAGATTTTGACGGGTGCCGAGAGCTATGAGTTGTGTTTTTTTAGCATTGATTTTCATCCCATTCTTGCCAAACCAGTTTGACAGCTGTGCCAAATTACGTTCCATGGATCCGGTCAGGGCGTCAATGTCTCCGGGTCTCCCGCTAACAAGAACCTGAGTGTCGTCCGCATACTGTACTATAGCCGCGTCCTCATCAGCGTACAGCGGCATATCATTCGCGTAAATGCTGTACAACAGCGGGCCGAGCGCTGACCCCTGGTACGTACCGATAGGGTTCGGTAGCGGCGCAGACAAGGCGTCAGCGCCACGGGTGTCCCGTGTAACAACCTGCTGATAGTGACCGGCCAGGTAGCTAACAAACCAGCGCGTGTCCACGTTATATAGTTCGAGTTTCTTGAGCAGCCCGGAGTGCGGTACAACGTCAAAACATTTGGACAAATCTAAAAGGCACAGTAGAGTTATATCTTTGCGATCCATTGCTTCAAACACTCTGTCGGTTACAGTAACAAGTGCAGTGTCGGTTGCGTGATTTGCTCTAAATCCATGTTGACTAGTTGAAAATAAATGGTGACTTGTGAAGTAGTTAAAAAGCTGCTCGTAAACAACACGTTCCGTGATTTTGGCGATGGTCGGAAGGATGGAGATGGGTCGGAAGTTTGAAACGTCGGTGGATTTAGGGGTTTTCTGAATGGGGTGAACCAGTGCTAGTTTCCAGGAGTCCGGAACAGTATGACTGGTGAGGCTGGTGTTGACAATATGGGTGATGACGGGACAAATCGAGTCTATACACTGCTTTATAAAACGCACACACAATCCGTCGGCACCACACGATGTACTGTTAGCCATCCGGCCGACAACTCGCCGTAGATGCTCCGGTGTGACAGGTGTCACCTGGAAGCGGCCGGTGGCCACACGCGGCAAGCGTACCGCCAGCTCCGGGCCCGCAGAGTTCACCTGTCGAGCGGTGGTTTCACCAATACTGACGAAGTATTGGTTGATGGTATCTGCGTCTGCGTCGGGTGACGGTCTGGTCGGCCGTTTGCCCGATATAACAGGCCTGACACTGCGCCACATAGAGCTCGGCCCGCCCTCCCGTATGCGCCGGCCGATCTCCTCGCGCGTGTCACTGCGGACAGCCGACCTGACCTGCCGGTTCAGCTCCTTGTACCGGTCCCGGTCGGAGGCACGGAGCGCCGCACGCCGCCGCGCCATCAGGTCCTTAGTGGCCTCGGACACCGGGGGCGCCGTGGGGTTCCGAATGTGCATGCGTCTCGCAAGAAATCGCGGCAAAGCGAAGGATTGCGACGATTCTTTGGTGCCCTGGAGTTAATCAATTTTACAACTTCCCGGAAAATTAAATAGCCCTTATAATTTTTGAATATTGTCTGAGAATTTTAAATCCCTGAACCAAATTACCTTTAACCTGTGATTATTTTTCTCAAGATCATGTCAGGCCAGAAGAGCAATTGAAAGCAAGCGCACATCTTCTGTGTGTTTCCATAGTCGTTTCGTGATTAGCAACGTGACAACATGTGAAATATACTATCTAATGTTTGTCTCATTAATTGTTGTGGGCGCCAAGGTCACGTGAAACTCAGTTTAAGGTCATTTACTTGAAATGATCTCGGTTAACTTCCTTAAATTTACACCTTTTTACTGTGGTTTTTAGGAAGTGTTGGTTTGAAATTTAGCACCCATTTTAGCATTTGAAAACTAGGCATACTTAGGTATCAGTTATAGTGCCTATGCAATATGTTGCAAGGCTGTGAGTGCTGGTTAACATTCTATGGATAGCCGGCAGAACGCCTAATGGATGATCTGGCGTGACCCGTCCTACCCCAAATGCTTTGATACATCATCTTTGATCAAAGCAAGTGCAAATTCGGAGTCAGAAGCAAGCCAAGTCCCAGCAAACTTCACTGGTAGAAATTCTAGCAGGACCCAATTTTCCGTGCTTTTGGGTTATTAACCTGATCTTTTATTTTTCAGCGAAGCTCTGGCTCTTTCTATCAAGGGCCGAATGGCTGAGGGTTTCTACGCCCCTCCGCTACATGTAACACGCTGAAAAGGAATACCTAAATGGGTGCAAGGGTTAAATATTGATTGGTTTTTAAGTGCCGAAGCCCGAAGCACTTTAATTTACTTCGAA